ACGAACACTGAACCTCGACCCTACGAACACTGAACCTCGACCCTATGAACACAGATAGTAGAGTGCAGGCAAGAGCGGCACTACTAAACAAAAAATTCAATGAATCACAGGGTAAAAACAAAGGTCCGTAGTTATGATAAAGAACGTAAAAAAAATATTTGGAAAAAATAGGAAAACAATTTACATTTCAAAAGTATGAATCAAATATTAATTGGCCAGCACCGAGGCATAGGCACTCAAAGAATCAAAACACACTTCTCGCCATGCATATGGATTGGGGAGCTTTGGCAGCTAGAGTGACGCCAGTCAGTAAGTCTCAGTCTGTTAGTCAGTCAGTCAGTCAGTCAGTCAGTCAGTCAGTCAGTCAGTCAGTCAGTCAATCAGTCAGTCAGTCAATCAGTCAGTCAGTCAGTCAGTCAGTCAGTCAGTCAGTCAGTCAGTCAGTCAGTCAGTCAGTCAATCAGTCAGTCAGTCAGTCAGTCAGTCAGTCAGTCAATCAGTCAGTCAGTCAGTCAATCAGTCAGTCGATTGGCATGCAACGTTAGAAGGGAATTTTAATTATGAAATCAACAAGTCAAAGAGGATTAATTTAGGTTATAATTATTTTGAAGGTAATGTAATTATTCATCATCTGTCAGAGATTATATGGTATTCCATGAAATAATTCAACCTAGGCTTACACTGTAGAGAAGAAGTCACTGAGAAAATAGAAGTCACCAGACTTCTATTTTCTCAACACTACACCCTACACACACACACAACACACTAACCAACTAACACAACAAATCCACAGTGTACTGGTCATACCACCCACTCAGGTCAGTCCTTTCTCACGATTTGTCAAGCGTCAGTGTGTAAGTGTTTTGACTAGGCAGAAGTCTGAGCCACTAGGCAACCCCACTTAACGTATCCAGGCCGATGCTCTTAGTACCAGAAAGCGTCCATTTTACTGTGCTTTCATATTTACTAAAACGCCGGTCGATAACGTTAAAATTGTGGTGTATTAAGCGTGAGGGAAGGTTGGGTCACCCTTATTATACATTTCCTTCTTCGTCGCTTCACTCCCTCCCTTTTCTTCCTCCTCCATTCTTCCCTCTCCATCTTTCTTCGTGCTACTCCTCCCGGTTTTCCCCTCATTCTTTATCCCTCCAAGTCCCCTCCCTCCCTCTCCCATCAAACTTCCCCTACTTCCAATTCAATCTACCCTCTCCATTGCCCCTTCCCTCTCTTTCCCTCCTTCCCCCATCTTCTTCTCCCACTCTGCAAAACCATTCGTCATTAAAGTTCATTAAGTTCGAATCTATAATAGTGTTAATAATAAAATTTTTGTTTACATATGGCTACATATCCCAGCCTGACTGCATAGCTGTGGGAGCCAGAGCTCTCACGACCTGAGGGCAATCCTGGGACGACCCGAGACTCCTTAAAGACGCTCCAGGGAATTTAGCTAATATTTTCCTTTACTTTTGTCTGTAATGTAATTTAATTATCCAAGGAAAGCACCAAGCCTGGAGACCATGCTGGTCAAGAAAGCATTTTGTGTGGGGGGCGGGGGGCGGAGGGGAAGGGGGAGTAAAGTAGATGGAGGTGCAAGTGAAGGAAAAAAATGTTTAGAGATTGGAAATATAGTAAGAATTATGATAGAAGGTGAGCTGTGGAAAGCTACAATTAATGTATTTAATTGTATTTCTTTGTGTTTCTGCAATAGAAAAGATGAATCAAAAGCAAAAGTGGCAACGTCGGGATCTGCCGGATGGTGCAGGAATTCCACCAAATATTTATTTAATGAAAGCAAATTTATTTAATTTTATTTAATTTAACTCTTTATTTAATGAAAGCAAACGAACACAATATGAGAACATTTATGCACGCCTTCGGCATGGTAGATACATGCTTAAAAAAAAAAAAGTCCCTGGAACATTATCAAACACAATTCAGAGTTAAACATAAAATCAGACTACCACTTGAGACTTAGGAAAGCCGGATGTAAAGAGGATAAAACACCTCCAAAGGACTTAGGTCTTTGGTCTACCACCAGCCGAGTCTATACTTTATTTACAAGGCCAAATTTATCCGTTTATACCTACAAATACAGTAATACTGAGACATAATTCGACAAAAAGAAGAAACTCCAAAAAAATAAACAATATCCCTATTATGAAAAACACATATTCAGCTTCTCTGTTATGAAGAACACATATTCAACTTCCATATTCTGAAGAACACACATACACCTCAGGAAAGTATCCACGTGAATGTGAGTTACCTTACTGATGATTTATAGTGCTCGTACCAGCTGACTCCCGACAGATGGTGCCTTGGTTCCTGGCAGCCGCAGTTGGCAGCTGGTGCGGTCAACCAACCAACCAGCTGGCTGGCTGGCTGACTGGCTGGCTGGCTGGCCGGCTGGCTGGCCTCAGCAGCGGCTCTGAAACAAAGAGCAACATTTGTCTTCGTAAGAGGGCGGCGGTGACCCTTCTGGACTCTCCTGTGTTAACTGTCTGAAGTCATGTCATATTTCCAGTCTAGGGGAGGGAGCCGGGAGAGGAGGAGAGGAAGGAATGAAGGGATAACTGAATAAAGAGGAAGAGGAGGAGATGGAAACCAAGCGATTTTAAAAATTGGATAGAGAGAACGAAGATGGATGGAGGGAAGAGATAATGAAACTTAATGGGAGTGAATAAAAAAGGGAAGATAAGGAGAGGTGCAAACAAAAAGAAGTTAAGAGAGGGAACCCCTTATCCCTACCTCGTCTGATATTGAAATTATCAGCCAGTTGGATAAGCAGCGAATACGATACAGTTTACCTGCGAGGGAGTACGACCATATGCATGCTGAGAGAGGCCAATTCCAAGGTGACCTCAGCTCCTAGGAGACCTCAGCTCCTATAACACTTCAATTACCTACCTTCAAACCACATACACTCCAAACATTTATATACCACTTACGGGCTATTCATGCCCGTGCCACCTCTGGTGGTGACGTAATCTTCATCAATCAATCAGGATTAGGGGATTGTGGGCACGCGGACCGGACTCGGGTCACGGATCAACCAAATTGTTTGTTTCCGCAGCTTGGAATCCGACCTAGAAATCACAGCCTTTTTGATTAGGTACTCTTTGGGTGACCGGAGTTCTTCTACTCCCGACAACCTCTCCAGGTGTTCTCATCTGCATCTCTCACCTCTCACCTCTGGGAGAGGAGTCGGGTGGTACAGATAGGCCACCAACCTTTAATGTTCAGCTCTCATCTACTCACAACTGTAGTTCCTGAATACAAAAAATTACAATGAATTCTGGTCTCAAACGCTATAAATGTCTTCAATGCGAAGTGACATGTTGGGTATGCATGATAACTTTCTGGCGATGATAATGGAGAAAATGTCTACAACGGTCTTGATCAAGCTTTATCCTGGGGCTCTGATGAAATTTTCTCCAGCAGTCTTGACGGAACTTGAGAGTAGACACACACAGACAGTTCCACAGTCAACCCACTTGTGTCCTCGTGTGGTTCACCTGAAGCTGAAGAACGTCTTCACATCTATACGCCTTAGCTATATCTATGAAATTGATTGTCCAAGGTTGGCAGGAAGTCACTTGGGGACGAACCTTTCCCAGCTTTGCAGGGTGATTTATTGGTGGTAAGGGACTGTCATAGGCTGGTTGTAGTCGTGCCCCATTGCTCCCCATTAAGTTGGGTTAGATCTTATTTTATCTCCAAGTGATTCCAATGAAGGCCAAAATTGTAGTTTTTCTAGAGATTTTTCAGCCGTTTTTCAGTAGCCGATAATATTGCATGTAGAGAGAGAGAGAGAGAGAGAGAGAGAGAGAGAGAGAGAGAGAGAGAGAGAGAGAGAGAGAGAGAGAGAGAGAGAGACTTAGTCGGCTTCTCTCGTTTCCTGTTTCCTACTTGATAGCATTAAAGTTAGTTTATCTCTAATCTATATCTATAGAAACTGAATCCTTTTGTGTTTGCGATTGGGGAACGGACGCTAGGTGAATGGTAGGGAAGGTGGTGACGGGAATTTCGTAGATTGGAGATCCAGTGGTGCCCGGGTAGTGAAGATAGTTACAGAAGTACAGACAAAATTCAGTGATGAAGATCACAGTAATAAGGATGGTCTTGTGTACTATTAATATAGATATTTAAGATCGTTCTAGTGAGGCATATAGTGGGAAGCAGAAATGGTTGCATTAATGATGGTCGTTTAGTAGTGATGATGGATATAGTAGTAATGGTTGTCTAATAAAGATGGTTACAGTGATGAACATCCTGTTCTTTGAAAAGGGTTACATTGATGAAGATGGTGTACGGTGAAGATGCGGTCTCCTTTACCCCCGGGAGAAGGTAATAAAGGGTTAAGAAAGTGGAAAAGGTAGGAAAGGTGGTGAAGGAGGAAGTAGGGTAAAGAAGATAGTAAAGGAGGTGTAGATGACTACGCTGTTCCAGGTCATGTTTTGTGAAGACAGATGAAGATAGTGAGTAACGAATATGTGACCTCTATTCCCCCGAGCAACGCCGGATATCAGCGCCCGACCTCAAGCAGATTCACATAATAAACTCATCAAATAGATGAGTCAGTAGGAGCAGGCTTAAGATGAGTTGATATAGAATAACAGCTATAAGCTTACAGATTAACCAGGAGCATCAATGGCACTCCTGATCAAATAACATCACAAACTGTATTAATAAATGTTATAATACATTTATAATGGGGAATGGTCACACAAAAACTACAATACATTACGTATGAGAGAGTGTCACAACCAGAGCATAGTACGTAGACATTAGTTAAAAAATATGTGTGTATATACATATACATATTTATTAATATATGTATTCTGAGTTTGTTGAAATGTTTGAGCCGTGTTGGAGGAGGGAGGAGGCTAGCGTGTGGAGCACCCGAGTGTGTTGTCTCCTGGTCGTATGTTCCAGCTCTCAAGTTGTGGGGATCGTGCTGGAGAAAAAGAGAGAATTTCCAGCACTGGCGAGGAGGGCGGTCATGCTGTGTGTTCTCCAGTGAAAGACTCTTGTGCCTGGTCCAGCCTGGACTCTGAGAGTGACACTGGTGGCTGATGGTCCAGCCTGGACTCTGAGAGTGACACTGGTGGCTGGTGGTCCAGCCTGGACTCTGAGAGTGACACTGGTGGCTGATGGTCCAGCCTTGACTCTGAGAGTGACACTGGTGGCTGATGGTCCAGCCTGGACTCTGAGAGTGACACTGGTGGCTGATGGTCCAGCCTAGACTCTGAGAGTAACACTGGTGGCTGATGGTCCAGCCTGGACTCTGAGAGTGACACTGGTGGCTGATGGTCCAGCCTGGACTCTGAGAGTGACACTGGTGGCTGATGGTCCAGCCTGGACTCTGAGAGTGACACTGGTGGCTGATGGTCCAGCCTGGACTCTGAGAGTGACACTGGTGGCTGATGGTCCAGCCTGGACTCTGAGAGTAACACTGGTGGCTCATGGTCCAGCCTGGACTCTGAGAGTGACACTGGTGGCTGATGGTCCAGCCGAGACTCTGAGAGTGACACTGGTGGCTGATGGTCCAGCCTAGACTCTGAGAGTAACACTGGTGGCTCATGGTCCAGCCTAGACTCTGAGAGTAACACTGGTGGCTCATGGTCCAGCCTGGACTCTGAGAGTAACACTGGTGGCTCATGGTCCAGCCTGGACTCTGAGAGTAACACTGGTGGCTCATGGTCCAGTCTGGACTCTGAGAATGGGGGTGCCAGATGTGGAAGTGGACTAGGTGCAGTCTCGAACCTGTTGGGCTCAGCAAGCACGGTTTCTTTATCCGTCATCTTCACCCGTCATCGTGGCAAGAGCGGCACTACTCAACTAGGTGCACAGGTGCATCCCTGATGCACCTGGTTACCTAACAGTAAATAGGGACCTGCTAGTTAGACAGCTGCTACCGGGCTGCTTCCTGTGTGTCTGTGTGTGTATTTACCTAGTTGTGTTTGCGTGGGTTGAGCTTTGCTCTTTCGGCCCGCCTCTCAACTGTCAATCAACTGTTTACTTACTACTTTTTTTTCTCCACACCACACACACACACACACACACACACACACACACACACACACCAGGAAGCAGCCCGTGACAGCTGACTAACTCCCAGGTACCTATTTACTTCTAGGTAACAGAGGCATTCAGGGTGAAAGAAACTTTGCCCATTTGTTTCTGCCTCGTGCGGGAATCGAACCCGCGCCACAGAATTACGAGTCCTGCGCGCTATCCACCAGGATACCAAGGCCCTGTGTGTGAGTGCGTGTGTATACTCACCTAGTACTCACCTAGTGGGGCAGCCGGTAGTGTGTGTCTGTGTAAGTGAAATATATGTAGTAGACATAATAGAGGAAAAATAGATTGGTTAGAGAGGCGGGGTCCAAGAGCTAATAGCTCGATTCTGCAGATACAAATAGTAAATACACACAATCGTACAACCCTCCCACAACCACTCCAAGTTACTCAGAGCAGTAAGGGTCGCTCCTGATGAGCGGCCCTAAACACCAACACTTCAAAGTTAGGATGAAAATACCCGCAGCTTCCATCGCTGCTTAACGTAGCCAGCCATAACGGAGAGATATAAACGGGATATAGAACTCTGAGTAACAGATTTACAGGTTTCCAATCGTTTCCTGCAAAGTTGATATGAGTCATTGGAGACGTCATTATTAGACAGGCCGTTGAATAGTCGGCGGTGCATTTACATCAAGCATTTATCCATCAACTTGCGAAACCTGTGCATCTCTCAATCATCATGATATCTGAGTCAGTACTAAGCAGTTTGCGCATTTCGAAATATCACACTATAAAGCTATTATTATTATTATTATTATTATTATTACTATTATTATTATTATCCTCGTTGTGCTTCGAAGTTCATAAACAGTTTAATCAGCTTAACGAATGTAAACAAAGCCGCCATAATTAAGGAGAGATGTACAGGTTTCGTAAATGTTTGCGTAAATATTTGATGAATTCGTCATATGGCTTTTGTCACTGGTTGTCGAGTTGCGTGGATCATTGATCCTGCTTGGTGATCCTGCTTGGGGATCCAGCTTGGGGATCCTGCTTGGTGATCCAGCTTGGTGATCCAGCTTGGTGATCCTGCTTGGTGATCCTGCTTGGGGATCCTGCTTGGTGATCCTGCTTGGTGATCCTGCTTGGTAATCCAGCTTGGTGATCCTGCTTGGTGATCCAGCTTGGTGATCCTGCTTGGTGATCCAGCTTGGTGATCCTGCTTGGTGATCCTGCTTGGTAATCCAGCTTGGTGATCCTGTTTGGTGATCCTGCTTGGTGATCCTGCTTGGTGATCCTGCTTGGTGATCCTGCTTGGTGATCCAACTTGGTGATCCTGCTTGGTGATCCTGCTTGGTGATCCTGCTTGGTAATCCAGCTTGGTGATCCCGTTTGGTGATCCTGCTTGGTGATCCTGCTTGGTGATCCTGCTTGGTGGTCCTGCTTGGTGATCCAGCTTGGTGATCCTGCTTGGTGATCCTGCTTGGTGATCCTGCTTGGTGATCCTGCTTGGTAATCCAGCTTGGTGATCCCGTTTGGTGATCCTGCTTGGTGATCCTGCTTGGTAATCCAGCTTGGTGATCCTGCTTGGTGATCCTGCTTGGTGATCCTGCTTGGTGATCCTGCTTGGTGATCCTGCTTGGTGATCCAGCTTGGTGATCCTGCTTGGTGATCCTGCTTGGTGATCCTGCTTGGTGATCCAGCTTGGTGATCCTGCTTGGTGATCCTGCTTGGTGATCCTGCTTGGTGATCCTGCTTGGTGATCCTGCTTGGTGATCCAGCTTGGTGATCCTGCTTGGTGATCCTGCTTGGTGATCCAGCTTGGTGATCCTGCTTGGTGATCCTGCTTGGTGATCCTGCTTGGTGATCCAGCTTGGTGATCCTGCTTGGTGATCCTGCTTGGGGATCCTGCTTGGTGATCCAGCTTGGTGATCCTGCTTGGTGATCCTGCTTGGTGATCCTGCTTGGTGATCCTGCTTGGTGATCCTGCTTGGTGATCCTGCTTGGTGATCCAGCTTGGTGATCCTGCTTGGTGATCCTGCTTGGTGATCCTGCTTGGTGATCCTGCTTGGTGATCCAGCTTGGTGATCCTGCTTGGTGATCCTGCTTGGTGATCCTGCTTGGTGATCCTGCTTGGTGATCCTGCTTGGTGATCCAGCTTGGTGATCCTGTTTGGTGGTCCTGCTTGGTGATCCTGCTTGGTGATCCTGCTTGGTGATCCTGCTTGGTGATCCTGCTTGGGGATCCTGCTTGGTGATCCTGCTTGGTGATCCTGCTTGGTGATCCTGCTTGGTGATCCTGCTTGGTGATCCTGCTTGGTGATCCTGCTTGGTGATCCTGCTTGGTGATCCTGCTTGGTGATAGGATAACCATTTCTCGCGACAAATCGAAAAATCATGTTTTTTCAGTAATGTTGTGTACTCGAAGACTTCTAGGGAGACTGAATTGTGAGGTGTAGGAGTAGATTGTGAGGTGTGAGTGAGGATGAGTTAGGAGTGAGTAAGGTCATTTGTGTGCGGTGGGTGGGTGAGTGTGTGAGGGAGTCTGGCGATGACTTAATATTTCATGCTCTTTCTGTGTTTTAATTCGCATAGTGTGTGGTGGGGGGGGGAGGGGAAGGTGACCGTGCGTGCGTGCGTGCGTGCCTGTTTGCTCGCTCGTTGGACCATCTAATTGTGTTCTTGTAATGGTTTTCTTGCAATGGTAATGGTTTTCTTGCAATGGTAATGGTAATAGTATTCCTACCTACATCCCTTCCTCCCTCCCTCCCTCCCTCTTTCAATCTCTCTCTCTCCCTCTTCTCTCTTTCTTCTCGATCGCTCTCTCCTCTCTCTTCTCTCTCTCTCACTCACTCACTATAACCTCCCTCCTTCCTTCCCTCTCTCCTCGGTCAGCCTGCCTGCCTGCCTGCCAGCCTGCCTGCCTGCCTGCCTGCCTGCCTGCCTGCCTGCCTGCCTGCCTACCTGCCTGCCTGCCTGCCTGCCTGCCTGCCTGCCTGCCTGCCTTTCTGCCTGCCTGCCTGCCTGCCTGCCTGCCTGCCTGCCAGCCTGCCTGCCTGCCTGCCAGCCTGCCTGCCTGCCTGCCTGCCTGCCTGCCTGCCTGCCTGCCTGCCTGCCTGCCAGCCTGCCTGCCTGCCTGCCTGCCTGCCTGCCTTTCTGCCTGCCTGCCTGCCTGCCTGCCTGCCTGCCATCCTGCCTGCCTTTCTGCCTGCCTGCCTGCCTGCCTGCCTGCCTGCCTGCCTCCCTGCCAGGCCTGCCTACCTGCCTGGCCTGCCTACCTGCCTGGCCTGCCTGGCCTGCCAGGCCTGCCTACCTGCCTGGCCTGCCTACCTGCCTGGCCTGCCTGGCCTGCCTGGCCTGCCTGGCCTGCCTGGCCTGCTTGCGACCCAACCAGACAACACTCTAACCAAACCAGTCCGACCTGAGGGAATCTTTATAGCCATTCTAACTGTTATTGTGGATCGGGCGTGCTTACGGCCCCGTGGAGGAGAATTGGAATATCATGTAAATAGTTCCACTTTTATTTCGACTTTATCACAATAGTCTGCGAGCCTCGGGATAGCATTTTGGGGAAGACCCCGGCGTCAGCAAGAGGACGGTTGGGCTGACGTTAGCGGCCGCTGAAGTCAATGAAGAATAGCACAAAACGTTCTCTCGTTGCTCGCTGTACAGCACTTTTTTGTGTTTAACTTACACAGGTTGGGTCCAAGACAGGACCTGTGTAAACGGTGTATAAACCTGTTTACACAGGACCGCTGTGTAAATTTCCCTTCCTGCAGCTCCTGGTTAGCCTTACCATGTTCGTTTTTATCCAGAACACGACCCTACAATCCGTCAACAACTAGATCTCCCCAATTACTATTGGGTGAACAAGGGAGGATAGTTAAGGAATGGCGCTATGTCAATCCTCCCAGGGGCTCGAACCCAGACGAAATTGGTGGGAAGGAGCGGGGCGAGAATGCAACTACTGCCTCGTCAGAGATGTTTGGAATGAGTGGTTTAAATTTTCAAGCAAATGTGGAAGATTTCACGTTGCTTTAAAAATAACTTTCATCTTACTGCCGATTTGGACAGGATGCTAAAAAGGTTTTGACCTTGTTATTGATCGACTCTCCTGAATAACAACTTTCTCCACTTATCTCGTGTCTAAACCCTATTTTTTTTCTCTCTCTCTCTCTCTCTCTCTCTCTCTCTCTCTCTCTCTCTCTCTCTCTCTCTCTCTCTCTCTCTCTCTCTCTCTCTCTCTCTCTCTCTCTCTCTCTCTCTCTCTCTCTCTCTCTCTCTCTCTCTCTCTCCTCCCACTTTCTCGTCCTCTCTCTCTGTCTTCCTCTTACAAACACATTCACAGTCAGGGCGACTCTGAGTTTGTCGGCCATGTTTAAAATTAAAGGAACAACCAGGCTGGTGTTTAACTTGCTCGAGTGGTTCTCCTTTCCCTCCTTCTTTCCTCTCCTCCTCTCCTTCTCCTCCCTCTTTCTTATCATGCTTCCTCCCTATAGCCCTTGTCCCTCCTTCTAATCATCTTCTAAAGATTTATTTTAATTCTCGTTTCGCGGTATTTTCATTTCTGTTTATCTTACTCCTTTCTTCTTATCATCCTCCTTATCATTTCTTCTCACTCTTATCCCCCTCCCTCCTCCTTATCCTGCCTTCTTCTCACCCTCCTTCTTGCCTTACCCCCTCCCTCCCTCCCTCCCTCTTTACCTCCCTCTTTCTTGCATTCCTCCCTCTGTTTTGCCTTTCTCCCTCCTCTCTCTCCTTCCCTTCTTTTTGCCCTCCTT